CTCGGATGCCATCCGACTCTGAGCTCGCACCAACTCAGCGCGAAGAGATTAAATTTTCTTCTCCGCCTTCGTTTCTTCAATTCGATCGTGACCAGTCAGGCTTAAGCCGAAACTCTGCTGGTCGTTCACCGTATTGCCACCGGGTCAACAAGCCCCGCTAAGGCAGCGTCCGTACCGTGTGTCATCTGCTGAACGCCGTGTCATCGACGAACAAGTGGACGACACTGTTGAAACGTGGCATCATCGAGCCCTCCAACAGTCCCTGGGCTTCACCGGTTGTTCTCGTCAGAAAAAAAAGACGGATCCATCCGGTTCTGCGTTTGACTACCGCCGACCTCAACAAGATAACGCGCAAAGACGTATACCCTCTGCGCGCATCGATGATGCTTTGGACTGCCTACAAGGAGCAGAGTTCTTTTCTTCGTTAGATTTACGCTCTGGCTACTGGCAGGTGCCCATGGCAGAGGGTGACCGCCCGAGACAGCCTTTGTAACACCGGATGGACTATATGAATTCACCGTTATGCCTTTGGCCTCTGCAATGCGCCTGCCATTTTCGAAAGGATGATGGATACCGTCTTGCGAGGTCTGAAATGGAAAACGTGCCTCTGTTATTTGGATGACATTGTGGTATTTTCAAGCGACTTTTGCGGACCCACCTCAGCCGCCTCGAGCAAGTTCTTACGTGCCTTTCCACGGCGAGACTTCAACTTAACTTGAAGAAATGCCACTTCGGCGCTCGCAAGCTTGTAATTCTCGGCCATGTGGTTTCTAAGGACGGCATTCTCCCAGACCCTACGAAACTTAATGCAGTCGCGGCGTTCCCAAAGCCAACCACCATCAAAGAGCTTCGAAGCTTCATCGGCCTATGTTCTTACTTCCGGCGCTACGTCCGCAATTTCACCTCCATTATCGCCCCCTTGACCAATCTTCTTGCCAGAAGTTCTGACTTGTCAGCATGGTCGCAGGCGTGTGATGATGCATTTCAGGAACTCCGACGGCTCCTCACCACGCCTCCCATACTCCGACATTTCGATCCGTCTGCTCCAACGGAGCTTCATACAGACGCTAGTGGTGTCAGGCTAGGGGCCATACTGGCCCAACGCAAGGAGGGCTTTGACGAGTACGTCGTTGCCTATGCCAGCCGCACCCTCAGTAAAGCCGAGAAGAATTACAGTGTAACTGAAAAGGAGTGCCTCGCCATTATTTGGGCAATCGGAAAATTTCGGCCTTATTTATATGGACGTCCGTTTGATATTGTAACAGACCACCATGCGCTCTGCTGGTTATCTTCACTAAAAGATCCTAATGGTCGGCTCGCTCGTTGGGCACTGCGGTTACAGGAGTTCGATATCCGTGTTATCTACCGTTCTGGCCGGAAGCATTCCGACGCCGATGCCCTGTCACGTTCGCCATTGGCTTCAGAGCCTGTCGGCTCGCCTATCTCCACTAGTGCTGCCTTGGCCATCAGCATCTCGGACATGCCTTCCGAGCAACGCAAAGATGCTTGGATTTCATCTCTTTTGGACTTTCTCTCAAACCGGACGCCCGCTCCAGTTTCCAGGACGCTTCGCCGTCAAGCAGGACACTTCGCTATTCGGGATAACCTGCTTTACCGCCGAAACTACAGCTCAATCGGCCGTAAGTGGTTGCTCGTGATCCCCCGACATCTGCGCTCTGACATCTGTGCCACGTTCCACGATGATCCGCAATGTGGCCACGCTGGTGTGTTAAAAACATACACCCGCTTGCAGCTGCGGTACTATTGGCGCGGTATGTACCGTTTCGTTCGCCGTTACGTAAGGTCTTGCCTTACGTGCCAGCGACGCAAAATGCCCACTCAACATGCCACAGGTCCCTTGCAGCCGTTGCCATGTCCAGCACGAGCTTTCGATCGTGTCGGAATCGACCTTTACGGTCCGCTTCCCTATACTTCGAGTAGCAGCCGCTGGGTCATTGTCGCTATCGACCACCTAACGCGGTACGCTGAAACAGCTGCGTTACCTTCTGCTACCGCAAAAGACGTTGCGTGTTTTATACTGCAAAACCTGGTTTTAATGCATGGAGCACCTCGGGAGTTACTAAGCGACCGTGGCCGCGTTTTTCTCTCCGATGCCATCAAAGCGTTGTTGAGCGAGTGTCGCATCATACACCGCACTACCACAGCCTATCACCCGCAAACTAATGGGATGACAGAGCGTTTTAATCGTACACTTGGGGATATGCTGGCCAAGTACGCTTAATCGGACCAGTCAAATTGGGATAGCATACTCCCTTTTGTGACATATGCTTACAACACTGCAATGCAAAGCACCACTGGATTTTCGCCTTTCTTCCTTCTTTATGGACGCGAGCCATCATCAACAATGGATACCATTCTTCCTTATCGACCAGACCCTTCAGAGATGACTACCGTTTCTCGAGCAGCAGCACACGCTGAAGAATGTCGGAAGCTTGCTCGTGCGTTCACGTCACATGACCAGACGCGCCAAAAACATCGCCACGACGCGTCAACCACGCATATGAGCTTTGCTCCGAACTCACTGGTGTGGCTATGGATTCCTTCTACTACTCCAGGACTCTCCCACAAGCTTTCGTCCAGGTACCATGGCCCTTATCGAGTTGTGCGCCAAACATCGCCTGTCAACTACCTTGTCGAGCCGCTGGATGCATCTCCGGACAAGCGCCGTCGGGGAAAAGAAATCGTACACATCTCTCGGCTCAAGCCATACCATGACCCTTCTGTCTACACCTGTCCTTAGGTCGCCAAGATGGCTCCCTCATCGGCCGGGGGTAATTGTAACGAGGGTAGTGGGCATGGAGCTCGAGGATAGAAAAAGAAGAAGACTTGCTGTGATCGCAGGCTTGCGTTCAGTTAGCCCTTGCGCTAAATAAAGCTCTCCTTCGTCGAGTTCGCCTGCTTGTTCAACAACCCGTTTCACATCATATATTCCCCATATTGAAGCACCGCCATTCAGGGGACATTCTAAGGACTAAACGAGACGTGGCACACGCACACTTTCTGAAGGCTTGCGCTTCGTGTCTACTTCCCACCTTTAACCACCTCGTGTTCATGGTATATTCACTGTATGGTATGTTCACTGTATTCATGGCACTGTGGCCCAACGCTCGCGAAACCTTTTTAAAACCAAGGAAGTTACGCCCGGCGAGTATAACGTATCAGCCCTTTCTTGTCAAATAGTGCTCAATGCACATGCCAATGACTGCTGATGTGGAATGAGAGACAGGAGAATTCGGCTTTTAGTTCTTACATAATCTTACATAGCGTCTTGTGTCAGAATCAAGCTGTCCAACGCTGTGAGGAATGGACTCACTTGTTGGTGTTTAAGTATTCTCCTATCAGTATTCTCCTAGTCCTTCTGTTGCAACGATGTCATTGGTAGTAGCTGTCTGGCAGTTTGTGCATTAGAGTGTGCACGTGCTTCTGCGGTATTGCGCCAGATTGCTTGTTTTCAACGCAAGGTAGTATGGGGCCTTTGGTACCCTTCCATCAATGGGCTGGTGGCGCTGTGCCCCCAAAAAACTTCCGGTCACCTCATTTACCAGCTCGTAACGCCGAAACTGAAAGGACGTTTTCACGTTTATTAAAGGGTATTAAAATTTTTGTTTTTCAGATAAAAAAACATGCGCAGTGTTCAAGGCAATCTTTTTGCGAGTTTTTATGTAGCTCAAAAAACATCTATTTCAACATAATTTGCCAAATGAGAGAAGGAAAGTGTAGGAAATCATCAGGCTATTTTATAACGCTCATCGTACCGACCGAAGCTATTCAGGTACATCGGTAAACAAAACCAGATGTGATCAAGGGTCTGTGTTTGTAAACAGTGAAAGCGATAAAGAAGCGGAGGTCGCGCACGTGGCTTCTGCCAGTTCACCTAAAAAAAACAGCACCAATAACGACAGACAAGAAAAGAAGGAGACAGACAGCGGCACTGACTTACAACAAGATTTATTTGCTGGAACCGCACAATATATACTTGAGCAGTATCTGACAAAAAAGAGAAAATACAAATAAAAGAAAACAGAATTCACTTAACACCCGAGTAATCATCGTGATGACGCGCCATGAACAAAACGTGTGCCAACGTGATGAAGAAAATGTAATTCTTTTTGTGATAGAGCAATCACAAATAAATCTTGTTGTAAGTCAGTGCCACTGTCTGTCTCCTTTTTTTTTTGTCCCTCGTATTGGCGCGGTTTTTTATGTGAATCATGTCGTACCAACTCACCCAAGCAGCCACGTTAGCTTCTCCTAGGCCTTGCAAAGTGGTGGTGTTTCCGCGACGCTTCACGAACGCTGGCTGGACCATTGATACTCTACTGAAGTATTCAATATACTGGGGCATTCAAAATAAATAATATATATAGCGCTAGTGGCCTCATCGTCTGCTTTGCCTCAAAGTGATGGTGCTCTCCGATGATGCAGGGGTGCTCGCCGAGCCATTGGTTCTATAGGTAGTGCAGCGTTGCGGCTTCTCGGTCTTGCGTCGACGTGGTGGCGTTCCTCTAACACTACGGGGATTCTGACCGGGCCATTGGTCCTATATAAAGTGCCCGTGGCGGCTTCTAGGTCTTGCATCGAAGTAATGGTGCTCCACGACACTGTGGGGCCTCCGGTCAGGCTATCAGTCTTATAAAAAGTGCATGTGGTGGCTTCTCGGTCTTGCACCAGAGTGATGGTGTTCTCCGATGTTGCAGGGGTGCCTCACCGGGCCATTACTCCTATAGGTAGTGTACCTTGTGGCTTCTCGGTCTTGCGTCCAAGCGATGGAGCTGTCCGACACTATGTGGACTCTCGCTGGGCCATTGGCCCCTGTAGTTAGTGCACGCGGCAGCTTCTCGGTCTTGCGTCGAAGTGATGGACCTGTCCGACACTATGTTGTACTCGCACTGGGCATTGACCCTGTAGTTAGTGCACGCGGCGGCTTCTCGGTCTTGCATCAGAGTGATGGTGCTCTCCTATGATGCAGGGGTGCTCACCGGGTCATTAGTCCTATAGGTAGTGTGCGTTGTGGCTTCTCGGTCTTGCGTCGAAGTGATGGAGCTGTCCGACACTATGTGGACTCTCGCTGGGCCATTGGCCCTGTAGTGAGTGCACGCGGCGGCTTCTCGGTCTTGCATCAGAGTGATGGTGCTCTCCGATGATGCAGGGGTGCTCAGCGGGTCCTTAGTCCTGTAGGTAGTGAACTTTGTGGCTTCTCGGTCTTGCGTCAGATTGCTTGTTTTCAACGCAAGGTAGTATGGGGCCTTTGGTACCCTTCCATCAATGGGCTGGTGGCGCTGTGCCCCCAAAAAACTTCCGGTCACCTCATTTACCAGCTCGTAACGCCGAAACTGAAAGGACGTTTTCACGTTTATTAAAGGGTATTAAAATTTTTGTTTTTCAGATAAAAAAACGTGCGCAGTGTTCAAGGCAATCTTTTTGTGAGTTTTTATGTAGCTCAAAAAACATCTATTTCAACATAATTTGCCAAATGAGAGAAGGAAAGTGTAGGAAATCATCAGGCTACTTTATAACGCTCTTCGTACCGACCGAAGCTACTCAGGTGCATCGGTAAACAAAACCAGATGTGATCAAGGGTCTGTGTTTGTAAACAGTGAAAGCGATAAAGAAGCGGAGGTCGCGCACGTGGCTTCTGCCAGTTCACCTAAAAAAAACAGCACCAATAACGACAGACAAGAAAAGAAGGAGACAGACAGCGGCACTGACTTACAACAAGATTTATTTGCTGGAACCGCACAATATATACTTGAGCAGTATCTGACAAAAAAGAGAAAATACAAATTAAAGAAAACAATTCACTTAACACCCGAGTAATCATCGTGATGACGCGCCATGAACAAAACGTGTGCCAACGTGATGAAGAAAATGTAATTCTTTTTGTGATAGAGCAATCACAAATAAATCTTGTTGTAAGTCAGTGCCACTGTCTGTCTCCTTTTTTTTTTGTCCCTCGTTATTGGCGCGGTTTTTTATGTGAATCATGTCGTACCAACTCACCCAAGCAGCCACGTTAGCTTCTCCTAGGCCTTGCAAAGTGGTGGTGTTCCGCGACGCTTCACGAACGCTGGCTGGACCATTGATACTCTACTGAAGTATTCAATATACTGGGGCATTCAAAATAAATAAATATATATAGCGCTAGTGGCCTCTCGTCTGCTTTGCCTCAAAGTGATGGTGCTCTCCGATGATGCAGGGGTGCTCGCCGAGCCATTGGTTCTATAGGTAGTGCACGTTGCGGCTTCTCGGTCTTGCGTCGACGTGGTGGCGTTCTCTAACACTACGGGGATTCTGACCGGGCCATTGGTCCTATATAAAGTGCCCGTGGCGGCTTCTAGGTCTTGCATCGAAGTAATGGTGCTCCACGACACTGTGGGGCCTCCGGTCAGGCTATCAGTCTTATAAAAAGTGCATGTGGTGGCTTCTCGGTCTTGCACCAGAGTGATGGTGTTCTCCGATGTTGCAGGGGTGCTCACCGGGCCATTACTCCTATAGGTAGTGTACCTTGTGGCTTCTCGGTCTTGCGTCCAAGCGATGGAGCTGTCCGACACTATGTGGACTCTCGCTGGGCCATTGGCCCTGTAGTTAGTGCACGCGGCAGCTTCTCGGTCTTGCGTCGAAGTGATGGACCTGTCCGACACTATGTGTACTCTCACTGGGCCATTGACCCTGTAGTTAGTGCACGCGGCGGCTTCTCGGTCTTGCATCAGAGTGATGGTGCTCTCCGATGCTGCAGGGGTGCTCACCGGGCCATTAGTCCTATAGGTAGTGTACGTTGTGGCTTCTTCTCGGTCTTGCGTCGAAGTGATGGAGCTGTCCGACACTATTCGGACTCTCGCTGGGCCATTGGCCCTGTAGTTAGTGCACGCGGCGACTTCTCGGTCTTGCATCAGAGTGATTGTGCTCTCCGATGATGCAGGGGTGCTCAGCGGGTCCTTAGTCCTGTAGGTAGTGAACTTTGTGGCTTCTCGGTCTTGCGTCGAAGTGATGGAGCTGTCCGACACTATTGACTCTCGCTGGGCCATTGGCCCTGTAGTTAGGTGCACGCGGCGGCTTCTCGGTAATGCATCAGAGTGATGGTGCTCTCCGATGCTGCAGGGGTGCTCACCGGGCCATTAGTCCTATAGGTAGGGTACGTTGTGGCTTCTTCTCGGTCTTGCGTCGAAGTGATGGAGCTGTCCGACACTATTCGGACTCTCGCTGGGCCATTGGCCCTGTAGTTAGTGCACGCGGCGGCTTCTCGGTCTTGCATCAGAGTGATGGTGCTCTCCGATGATGCAGGGGTGCTCACCGGGTCATTAGTCCTATAGGTAGTGTACGTTGTGGCTTCTTCTCGGTCTTGCGTCGAAGTGATGGAGCTGTCCGACACTATTTGGACTCTCGCTGGGCCATTGGCCCTGTAGTTAGTGCACGCGGCGACTTCTCGGTCTTGCATCAGAGTGATTGGTGCTCTCGATGCATGCAGGGGTGCTCAGCCGGGTCCATTAGTCCTAGTAGGTAGTGGTACTTTGTGGCTTCTTCTCGGTCTTGCGTCGAAGTGATGGAGCTGTCCGACACTATGTCGACTCTCGCTGGGCCATTGGCACTGTAGTTAGGTGCACTGCGGCGGCTTCTCGGTCATTGCATCAGAGTGATGGTGCTCTCCGATGCTGCAGGGGGTGCTCACCGGGCCATTAGTCCTATAGGTAGTGTACTTTGTGGCTTCTTCCGGTCTTGCGTCGAAGTGATGGAGCTGTCCGACACTATTCGGACTCTCGCTAGGCCATTGGCACTGTAGTTGGTGCACGCGGCGGCTTCTCGGTCTTGCATCAGAGTGATTGTGCTCTCCGATGCTGCAGGGGTGCTCACCGGGCCATTAGTCCTATAGGTAGTGTACGTTCTGGCTTCTTCTCGGTCTTGCATCGAAGTGATGGAGCCGTCCGACACTATGTGGACTCTCGCTGGGCCATTGGCACTGTAGTTAGTGCACGCGGCGGCTTCTCGGTATTGCACCAGAGTGATGGTGCTCTCCGATGCTGCAGGGGTGCTCACCGGGCCATTAGTCCTATAGGTAGTGTACGTTGTGCTCTTCTCAGTCTTGCGTCGAAGTGATGAACTGTCCGACACTATTTCTGGACTCTCGCTGGCCATTGGCCCTGTTGTTAGTGCACGCGGCGACTTCTCGGTCTTGCATCAGAGTGATGGTGCTCTCCGATGATGCAGGGGTGCTCACCGGGTCATTAGTCCTATAGGTAGTGAACTTTGTGGCTTCTCGGTCTTTCGTCGAAGCGATGGAGCTGTCCGACACTATGTGGACTCTCGCTGGGCCATTGGCCCTGTAGTTAGTGCACGTGGCGGCTTCTCGGTATTGCATACGAGTGATGGTGCTCTCGGATGCTGCAGGGGTGCTCACCGGGCCATTAGTCCTATAGGTAGGGTACGTTGTGGCTTCTTCTCGGTCTTGCGTCGAAGTGATGGAGCTGTCCGACACTATTCGGACTCTCGCTGGGCCATTGGCCCTGTAGTTGGTGCACGCGGCGGCTTCTCGGTCTTGCATCAGAGTGATTGTGCTCTCCGATGCTGCAGGGGTGCTCACCGGGCCATTAGTCCTATAGGTAGTGTACGTTCTGGCTTCTTCACGGTCTTGCATCGAAGTGACGGAGCCGTCCGACACTATGTGGACTCTCGCTAGGCCATTGACACTGTAGTTGGTGCACGCGGCGGCTTCTCGGTCTTGCATCAGAGTGATTGTGCTCTCCGATGCTGCAGGGGTGCTCACCGGGCCATTAGTCCTATAGGTAGTGTACGTTCTGGCTTCTTCTCGGTCTTGCATCGAAGTGACGGAGCCGTCCGACACTATGTGGACTCTCGCTGGGCCATTGGCACTGTAGTTGGTGCATGCGGCGGCTTCTCGGTATTGCATCAGAGGGATGGTGCTCTCCGATGCTGCAGGGGTGCTCACCGGGCCATTAGTCCTATAGGTAGTGTACGTTGTGGCTTCTCGGTCTTGCGTCGAAGTGATGGAACTGTCCGACACTATTTGGACTCTCGCTGGGCCATTGGCCCTGTTTTTAGTGCACGCGGCGACTTCTCGGTCTTGCATCAGAGTGATGGTGCTCTCCGATGATGCAGGGGTGCTCACCGGGTCATTAGTCCTATAGGTAGTGTACGTTGTCGCTTCTCGGTCTTTCGTTGAAGTGATGGAGCTGTCCGACACTATGTGGACTCTCACTGGGCCATTGGCCCGGTAGTTATTGCACGCGGCGGCTTCTCGGTCTTCCGTTGATGTGATGGTGCTCTGCAATGCTGCAGGGGTGCTCACCGGGCCATTAGTCCTATAGGTAGTGTACGTTGTGGCTTCTCGGTCTTGCGTCGAAGTGATGGAGCTGTCCGACACTATGTGGACTCTCGCGGGGCCATTCGCCCAGTACTTAGTGCACGCGGCAGCTTCTCGGTCTTGCGTCAAAGTGATGGTGATCTCCGATGATGCAGTGGTGCTCGCCGGGCCATTGGTTCTATAGGTAGTGCACGTTGCGGCTTCTCGGTCTTGCGTCGAAGTAGTGGCGTTCTCTGACGCTTCGGGCATTCTGGCGGGGTCATTGGCCCTATATAAAGTGCCCGTGGCGGCTTCTAGGTCTTGCATCGAAGTGATGGTGCTCTCCGACACTGTGTGGACTCCGGTTAGGCTATCAGTCTTATAAAAAGTGCATGTGGCGGCTTCTCGGTCTTGCATCAGAGTGATGGTGCTCTCCGATTCTGCAGGGGTGCTCACCGGGCCATTAGTCCTATAGGTAGTGTACGTTGTGGCTTCTCGGTCTCGGAAGAGTGTAGCGCAGTCCGGTGCAGCACTCCCTCGCATCCTCCCGGCACGTCGCGGGCTTCGGTTTATGTGCGCGCCGACCTCCCTCACGCTGCAGTGGACATCGAGGACATTCTCTGTGACACCCTCGAGGCCGTCGCCCTGACTGTGCGCATCGGGAGCACGGACACCAGTGTCGCTAGCGTGTACGTGCGCACATCGAACTACTCGGCACGCTGGGACACCCAATTCGTGTGCCGCCTCGCAGACCGCCTAAATCGCGACGCGGTCATCGGTGGCGACTTTAACTCTCACCACACCTCGTGGGGCAGTGGCGTGACGAACCACCGTGGGCGCGACCTTCTCGATGCCGTGCAAAAGGCCGGACTGCTCGTTATAAACACGGGTAGCTGTACTCTCGCGCGCCGTGGTTTGTCCGACAGTGCCATCGACCTGACTCTCGTGGGTGGTACGTGTAAATATGAGTGGCAACGTGCACCGGACTCTCAGGGCTCCGACCACTACCCCATCGTGGTCACACCCCCCTCAGCTTACATCAGGTACACTCGGACCTACAGTGTTGTGAAGTGGACTCGCTTCAGAGAACTGTGTGCTAGAGTGCCAGTCTCTGCAGACTTCTTCACCGCGCTGGCCGAGTGTCACGACGCAGCTACCACCCACTGCACCGTGCCTGCGGGCACCCCCGCACCAGACATCAGCCTCCTCAACCTTCGCGCCGCGCGCCGCAGGGCGCAGATTGTGGCGGTGCGCTCGCAGAAGGCGGAACATTGGCGTGCCTATAACTGTATTGACGCGGTGTGCCGCAGGCACGCCAGACGCCGTCGCAACCAGAGCTGGGGGAGCCTCTGCTCGTCACTAGATGACCCTCAGAACCACGCCCAAGCCTGGCGCATTTTCGCTGCCGTTCTTCGCACCAGAGAGCCTCGCTGCCCGGTTCTCTGTGTTGCTGTTGCAATGAAGATCGCCACGCAGGAATTGGCTGAGCTGCTGGCAGACAAGTTTGCCCCTCCTGCTTGCCCACAGCCTCCACAGGGACTACCACCTGTGCCTGCACTCAACAGGCCTGAGCTCTTCGCCCCCGAGCGGTACTTTCCCACCGAGGGCATTCTGCTAAAGATCCGCGCATTGTGCACGGAGGAGTTTACTCTCAGCGAGCTGACCGCAGTGCTCAACAACCGCACGAAGCGGTCTGCCCCGGGAGTGGACGGCCTCACCTACCAGGTGCTGCGCAACATTGACCCCTCCACGCGGCCCCGGTTGCTGGAGGCCTACAACGAAGTGTGGCGCACAAGTCAGGTGCCTCCTGGCTGGAAAGAGGCGCTCGTGGTGCCCATCCTGAAGCCACGGAAGCCGGCCACGGAGCTTTCATCCTACCGGCCAGTGTCACTTACCTCGGCCGCAGGGAAAGTCATGGAAGCCATGGCATTGCGACGCCTTCGCTGGATTGCCACCGCAACCAACGCATTCCCTCCCGAACAGAGCGGATTTCGCCCAAGGCGCGGTACGTTCGACTCACTGGCCGACGTGATCGCCACCCTCGAGGAGGCCAAGTACCGCGGCGATTACGGCATTCTCGTGCTGCTCGACGTGAGAAGTGCGTTTGACTGTTTGCCCCACGCATCGATTTTGGACGCACTTCGTGACCTCGGTGTGTGCGGGCGGATGTTTGACTACCTGGAGAGCTTCTTGGGCGACCGCACTCTTCGCGTTCGTGTTGGCTCCACAATCAGCGGTCCCCACTCCGTCACCGCAGGCGTACCCCAGGGCAGCATACTGAGCCCTTTTCTGTTCAATCTGGCTCTTGCCAAGCTGCCCGACTACATCCCGTGCAACACGGCGTGTGAAGTGCATGTGGCGATTTACGCCGATGACATTGCGCTGTTTGCCTGCGGCCCCGGTCGCCACCGGGCAGCCCTTCTCGAGTCCCTCCAGGTGGCCATCGACGCGGTTGACGCATTCCTGAACGGGGTTGGACTGGCGCTCGCCGCCTCCAAGACGGAGGCACTGCTCGTCCACCCGCGAGCGTCGACACGCCGCTCCACGCCTCGGCTCTCACTCCGGGGCCTCCCCATCGAGTGGAGCACGAAGGTGCGCTACTTGGGGGTGACCATAGACCACCGGCTCAGCTGGCGACCGGCCGTCAACGATCTGCGGACGAGCAACCGCAAGGTACTCGGCGCCGCACGCAGTCTCCTCGCGCGAGGGCACGGCTGCACCCCTGCCCTTGCCCTGCGAGTCTACAACGCAGTCGCATCGGCACGCGTGATCTACACTGCAGCAGTGGCTTCGTTGAGTGCTTGCCAGCTAGCTGCCTTGGACGCGGACCATCGCAACGCCGTGCGGGAGTACTACGGACTTCCCCAAACCTCCCAGGTGGGCCCCACGCTCGCCGAAGCGGGGGAAACTCCCATCTCCCTGCGGGTGACCCAGCGGACACTAAATCATGTACTGCGGCTGAAAACCACAAGGCAGGGGCAGCTCCTTGTGAACAGGCTATATGCTCTACCTCACTCATCCATGGGGCAGCGGGCGAGTGAGCTCTTGACGGTTGTGCCAGACATGCAGTACCCCAGCTGGCTGGCTATCCCACCCTACCGCCACACCCCTCTGGTGATCACCAAGACCATTGGCGGCATCAAAGCGAAGGCGCGCACCCCGCTGGCAGCGATGCAGCAGGAGTGCTCCGCCCTCCTTCACGAACAGCTGAACGGCCGGCTGCTTGTTTACGTCGACGGGTCAGTGCTTCGCGACGACTCCGCGGCCGCCGCCTGCGTTGTGCCATCAGTCGGCGCGGTTCTCAAGTGCCGCCTCCCCTCCCTCGCCTCCTCCACTGTGGCGGAACTCGCCGCTATAAATTTGGCAGCCGATTTCCTCAGTGAGCGGGCACCCATGAGCGCTGCAGCCATCATCTGCGACTCCCGGGCGGCCTTGGCCGCGATCTCGCGCGAGGAAGACGGCAGCCTCCTTGCGCAGAGAGTTGCCCGGAAGCTGCACGCCGTGCAGCAAACGGGGTGCGACCTTTCGCTGCACTGGGTGCCTTCGCACATCGGAATACCCGGCAACGAGGCGGCCGACTGTGCCGCGAGGGATGCGCACGACCCCGACACCGGCGTCACCAACTTCGTGTGTTCCGCGGATGCCGGCCGTCTCCTCACCGCCCGCTACGTGCGCGAGCGTCATCCCGACCCTCGCGTAGCAGCTGGAAAGCCGCCGCGGCGGCTCCCTCTCAAGGGACTCCCAAGACGAGACCGCGGTTTCCTTCTCCGTCTCCGCACCGGAGACAACTACACCGCCGAGCGAAAACATCGGCACTCCGGGCGTGGCAGTCCATACTGCATGGACTGCGGCGACCTGGAGACTCTGGACCACCTTTTGCTTCATTGCCCGGCTGGTGACGCGAGCAGACAGGTGATGCTCGCAACGTACGGAGCTCTCGGCCTGCCTCGGACAACAACTGAGCACCTCTTGTTCCCGAACAGTGGCCGCGCGCATATCAAGCGTGCCCTTTCAGCGCTGCTCGACTTTGTAGACGGAAGCGGACTGCGTGAGCGAATTTAGAGAATTCGCGCCCCGTGATTTTGGTAGACGATCTGTGCGTCCCCCCCTTCCTTTGCTCGCTCTCTCCTTTCTCTTTCCTCTCTTCGCTCAAGTCTATTATCCCCCATTCCCCTTCCCATGTGAACCACTGCTGAGGTGTCGCACTTAGCTGCAGACAGTTGCGGGGTTCACTTTTCTTTTCTTTTCCAATTTTAAGAACCACTTCCCCCGGTCTTGCGTCAAAGCGATGGAGCTGTCCAACACTATGTGGACTCTCGCTGGGCCATTGACCCTGTAGGTAGTGCACGTGGCGGCTTCTCGGTCTTGCGTCGAAGTGATTGGGCTCTCCGACACTACGAGGACTCTAGCTGGGCCATTGATTTTATAGGTAGTGCACGAGGTGACTTCTCGGTCCTTTGTCGCATTGATGGCACTATCGGATACTGGGGGGGATCTGGCCGGGCCATTTGTTCTATAGGAAGTGCACGTAGTGGCTTCTAGGTTTTGCGTCGAAGTTATGGTGCTCTCTGACACTGTGGGAACTCTGGCCGGGCCATCGGTCTTATTGGTAGTGAACGTTGCGGCTTCTCGGTCTTGCGTCGAAGTGATGGCGCGGTCCGACACTGTGCAAACTCTCGCTGGGCCATTGGGCCTATAGGTAGTGCAAATAGCGGCTTCCCGGTCTTGCGTCAAAGCGGTTGTGTTCTCTGAGCCTACGAGCACTCTGACTGGGCCATTGGTCCTACAGAAAGTGCCCGTGGTGGCTTCTCGGTCTGGCGTCGACGTGATGGTGCTCTCCAACGCGGTGGGAGCACTGAACGGGGCATTGCTTCTATAGGTAGTGCACGTGGAGTCTTCTCGGTCTTGTGTCGAAGTGATGGCACTCTCGGACACTGTGGAGACTCTGGCTGGGCCATTGGCCCTATGGGTAGTGCACGTGGCGTCTTCTCGGTCTTGTGTCGAAGTGATGACGCTCTCGGACACTGTGAGGACTCTGGCCGGGCCATTGGCCCTATGGGTAGTGCACATGGCAGCTTCTCGGTCTTGCGTCGAAGTGATGGTGCTCTCCAACGTGGCTAGAGCATTGAACGGAGCATTAATACTATATGTAACGCACCTGGTGACTCTTCGGCCTTACGACGAAGTTACGGTGCCCTCCGGCGCAACTAGGCGACATGCTGGACCACCGGTCTCGTGGTTAGTGAACGTAGATTGTGTTCGGCCTTGTG